CAATTTGTTTCAAAGGATGGCCGATTGACAGCCATCTGACTTTTTGGCCTTACTACTATATTTCTACAATTTATGTACCATTTTCATTCGTATTTGGCACATACATCATACATATCAGTGTGTTTCATAATCAGATCAAAGATGGCTGAATAACGGCTGTTTTTATTTTGGCCATATTACTATGACACAAAACACGTGTTTTGATGTAAATAAACAATCTGTTGTATACGCCACTTGGAACTCAAGTTTCAAGGACACGCTCGCGACAACCCCTCCGCTTTAATATGACGAGCACAAAGAGAACTTAACGGGAACTGTGTCATTTTCAATGACTTGTTAGTTTTGTTCTCAACTTGTAATTGTCTTCAACTTCCTTGCCTACTGAATCCTGGCTACTGCTTTTTTTTGAGAAATTGTTCCTAAACTTTTATTTTCAGGAAAGTGAATATTGGGACAAGAGGAGTGGATTAAAATCGCCAGAAACTGTGCAAGATGACGAAGATATCACCGGGACAACGCCACAATTTCCTGTCACCCCAAGCATGGTACCCCGCACACCATATGCTAACATGGTTACGACTCCCATTGCTGTCGTAGAACGCAAAGCTCCATTGAACTCCACAGCAGGTATGAGACAACCAAGGGGAACTTTGAGAACGGAGGTCCCTGTTTCCATGGTAACTTGTAAAAGCCCCACCTCAACCATCTCATCAGTTTCTCATTCAGTCACCAAGACAATAGGTATGTTTGTTTTGCAGTGTTTTTTACAGAATGTCTTCACTGCACGTCACTGGTGTCAAAGGTCTGATTGGTTCATCCTGCACGTTTGATAATTGATGTGATTCGTCGTAGTTCGTCACCAGTGCATCTCTCCAAGTTGTATGTCAAGTATAGCTGCACTGTCTGTATTTTTAACTGTGTCATGTATGTGACATTCACAGCAATGTAATGTTCAGCACAGCACTTGTACAATGTCAGTGATATAGACAATAATGCATGTATACTCACATGAAATGGATCAAAGTAAATGCTACCTATGCAGTGCTTGAGACTTTATGCCAAGAGATGCCAACAACTAGGTTGCGATCCTGCCTTACTAGCAACAAATTATTAATTTTGTCTTGCAGCTCACAGTGCATTACATAATATTACGGCTAAATTTGATTATGTAAAAATTTTTTATGTACGGTATTTGCAAAATTTGCTGTTTCAAGCTGTCCCAAAACTGCACTGTCATCAAAATTATTTTCATGTTGATAACTGTTTTGATATATCCTAAAAAACCAGTCTATTTACAGGTAAGTTAGTAAATTCAAACATCTGTCAAAACTATGTGTAACGTTTGCGTATGGTGGAAAACAATAAATGGGTATGCTAATAAGGTAAATGCACAGTGCAGATACATGTACTACAATGACGATAGGTTGCGCGAATTCACACTGTAACTACGGTAACTGACATTGATCCATTTCTTGGGTAATTCTATCACCTTACAGTTTTGTAATTGGTTGGGAATAGTTCAGTAATTACACAACTCTTCCTGTAGTCTTTATTATTTAGATTTTGAATGATATCAGATTACACACTTGTATATAAAATGTCCCTTTTGAAAATTTCAAACATATTTTTGACCTCGTTTTTTTTATCAGATTTATATCTGATTCCGAGGTACTGTTAGATATATAAGGAAATAGGGATATAACATTTATTTCAGATTTTTTTTAGTTATTCCATCCAATCTTGTTTTTAATTTCACAATTTTTCCTAGAACTGTTTTCAACAGTTTTGCATGGTAAACTTATTGTTATTTTTGTTGTGTGTTTATAGAGTTTATAGAGCATGTATGTGTAAATTTTTAAGTTTAGTTATTTTTGTTTTAAATAATAATAATTTAAACAAAAATAAGTTTATATTTGTAATTATAATTTATAAATTATACATTTTTTATTTATTGGTTAAGTATTTATTATAATGGTTTTCATTGTTATTGCTTGTTAATCTGTAATTGTTCTTTCTATCTGAACCTACTTGATGAAATGTGTGTTGGCATTTAGTTCTTAGAATGCCATCTTCAAATTTTGCACATTTATTGACAAAAAAGTATTTTTTCATAATTTCTTTGGTGATTTTGGTCCAAATGGATGTAATTTCTCTCCAGCTGCGTGTTTAAAAGCCTTAAAAAACGTTTCAAAAAATTATGAAATGTGACCAAAGTCAAAGTCAACTATAGTGACTTTTCACAGATTTAACCACATTATTAGTAATTTCTGTAATCTTCTGAAAAATGTTTATTAAGACTCACAGTTAGTGGGATATTATGTCCATGTGTTAAATAGTTACTGTATTTGCTCTATTAAAAACCGAGGGTCATTGTGCCGTGTGTGCGCAAGATATTGGTCTCATATAAACAATGATGGAGAGTTTGACTGTACACCAGCGTGTACAAACAGAGACGTTATCAAACTTTAATGAGGTATTTTTTTGGGTGATTGGAAGATATTGAAGGATTCATCAACGATAATTTTTTCAAACCGCACACAGGTCAAAACTCGTACTCGTGATTTCAAAATCAATGTTTATCAACACATGATGTCGCTCATACATGACTCAACGACCACCATCCTTTCAAAGCACGTGTCCCAAAAGAAACAAAAGAAAAGCACATGAAATTACATTAGAAATTACATTAGAAATATATGTTGAATCATTAAAATACAACTGAAATTGACCATATACCTTAGTTAGTACATGTAAGCACATATGCCACTCATAGAGAAAAAAGGTAAAAAAAAAAAAAATTGTAATGTAATTGTTAGTTTGTAATATGATTTGTTTCCAGCAATAGTGTTTGATGACATACAAGTGCTTTATTAGTGTAGATCATGATTGGTTGAATTTTACTAAGAACTTGTATAACCATATCACCTTGAAATGTACACATCTGATAACACCATCTGTCTTACTTTGTTGCATTTTATGTGTGACTTTGTTGCTTATCCTGTCTGTCTTTGTTGCATTTTCTTAGTGACTTTGTAGCATCTTCTGGGTGACTTATTTGAGTCCCACTGGAATTTAGAACAAAATGTTTTCAGTGCTACTATATCACCATAATTTGTTTGGTTTTATCGGAATCAAAGCAGCTGATGAAAATATAAAGCTTTAGATGTTGTTACAAAACAAAGATAGATGAATAACACATTTTCAATTTTTGTTTTAGATACCACAAATTACTTTCCAACATCAAAACAAGAACCAACCAATCAGCATGCTAGGCATAACGTATTCATGTATCCTGCGACGTCCACTCAGGATAGATTGCCGAACACTGCACGAGGCTACGAGCAGTCGCTTCCTGGAAATGCACCGGGAAATGATGGTTCATCCACAGAGGTTCAATATAGGCACCAAATGAGAGAAGGAGAGCCATTGGAAACTGTTATTAATGGTGGGCCTTTACATGAACACAGCTCCTCAAAACAACCGAATGGTCAACCGTACATGATGACTTGGGATCAGAGAGCTGCCCTCAACAATAAAGATCAAGAACAGCCAATGAGGGAGTTGTATATAGAAACACAAACATACGAGAAGAAGGTCATGCCAGGGGGTGCGCCTGTTCCAACATTAAATATTGCCGAACAACAGTCACTGCCACGTCAACTGCAACATATGGAAGCGCCCAAGCAACAACAACATTCACCGGGATATCAGAACTACCCAACTATTTCAGCTGCAGAGCCCAACCAAATAGCTTCCCAGGGATTAGTATCGTACCAACCACAAATTAGCCAGCAAGATCCTTCAAAAGGTGTTGTTGGCGGTCACAATGCGCTACCTCACGGAACTGTTATGCATGTACATATGCAGAAAACAACTCATGAGCATGTGGACAGTGCCCCCAGATCTTTATCAACACAGAAACCACACCATGAGCATGGAAGTCCTGCACAACCAGAACATTTTACAGTGTCCCCCCATCATGAACACGGCAGACCCGGTCATGTGCAGCAAGAACACTTGAATATTTTACCGCATAATGAACACGGCAGTCCTGGTCACACACGACAAGAACATTTTACTACTTTGCATATCGATGAGGATACAAGTACATGCACACCCAGTGATTCTAGTGCAAGCCCGCAACAGAACAACTCTGGAGTTGCATACGAGCAGGCAACGTTGCCATTCCCGACGTCAAACAGCATGATGAAGGAACGAATGCAGTTACATAAACAGCAGGAACAGGAACAGCAACAAGAGCCACAGCAACTGCATGCCCCTCATCAATCACCACAAAATATTTACCCTACTTACAGCGATCGGTCCCGCCCTCAACAGCAAATGCCGAAAGGTAGGGGCAGTGCACCCAATCACCAACCGGGATATACAACGTTCAGCGACAGATCAAAGGGTCCGGATCAGCGAAATCCAACAGGGCACGGAAACATTACACTGACTACTGTAGAACAGAATACAACATATAATACGTTATATGATAACAGAGGGAATGCAGCTGATCAACAGAAGAGCCCAAACATGACACAAATAGGTTCTGGAGGGAGTGGTGAGAACATCATTGGTGTGCTAGGTAGCACTTCCAGGAAGATGGTATCACCAGGCTCATCTCATGGGAGAGGCAGTCTAACTGGCAGGTGAGGAAATAAGTCACTTTATTGCTAGAACACCACATATGCGAACCCAATATAGTGGAAGTGGCAACTACTGTGTTTGCAGTCTTCTTGTATTACCATTAGTTTTAATGGTTAGATCAGACAATAACAAATCTTCATCATGGGATTATTAATAATTTTTGTTTGTTCTAATGTTGAATGGGAAAAAAATATGATTTTTTTTCTTCTTTTTTTTTCTGCCCAAAGCATTTATACTCGTTTTGAATGTCCTTCAAACAATGTACAAAATACAGAAATTTCAAAGCAAATATTGCAAACATTGAATCAGATACTAATCAACAGTCAACAATGGTTATGTATGCACTTAGGAAGTTATTTTTGGTGCAAATCATATCAAAAGAAAATTCTAAAATGTGATCTGGCAGGTGTGAGAAAATTTTTTCCGATTGATTTACAAGTTTGAAGTATTGTTCGATCACGGGTGTCTGTAAGGTTCATATTTAAAATTGATTTGTTTCACTTCAACAGTGAACGGAGCATCTCACCACAACCTCCTGGTAGTGGTGGTGGCATTGTTAGAAGTTACACCAATGGTAGCATCAATGACAGCGGTAGAAGTTCACCAGCCAGTCTGTATTATCACCCTATGTCATCCCGTGGTAGCGGTTTCTCCCTCGGTGGTGAGTCGTAACAATTTTAACTGAGTTGCGAACATTTGGGAAAATTAAAGTGGTTCACATTACAGCTGCTATTCTGATTATGCTATATCAACTGATAGTTACCATGGGGACGAATGTGCGACTGCCCCATTCTTTGTGACATTACACTAAATTTACGTGGGTAATATGCAAATATTAACAGCAAATCTAGTTTTTAGTGGAAAGGTACATAGCCATAGAAACAGTTGTCAGGTGAGACTGGCTGGTTCTATTTGCCCTCTCAATGTATCATATTTCGGGGTACCATTAACTTATTGAAAATTGTGAATGGATATCTCCAAGATAAGCAGTTATGATACAGAGAGAAAACAAAGTTTGACTTTTGTTTTACCCATGTTATGTTGTTTCATTATCATATCTCTATTTTATAGATTCCGATATAATACACAAGCATCCCATGTTTGTAAAAGACATTTCCGGTTACTGGTACAAACCAACCATCGCCAGGGATGAAGGTAAGCACGCTATTATATTACACCAATGTTCACTTTTCTCTTTAAACAAATTTGACACTTAGTAACTATGGTATTTTTTCCAGGAATAAATATTAATTTTGTTAATCTATTACATTGGAGTATAAGTTGTACAAATGATGTAATATCACTGTTCAGGTTGGTGACTGGTAACATATGTGGATTCTACGACTAGTGCACTGGTGTATACATGTACATGTGTCACAAGTGCACAAGTGATTTTGGAATATGTCACCTCTTGTCTTATAATATAACGTTTAATTTTTTCTTTTATTTCTAGCCATAGCCATTCTAAAGGAGAGGCCACCGGGATCGTTCATTGTACGAGATAGTAACTCCTTTCCAGGTGCCTTTGGCCTGGCACTGAAAGTAGCCACACCACCACCAAGTGTCATGCAGAACAAAAAGAGTGAGTCCAACAATGTTTGAATTAAAATAAATATTCATCAAAATTAGTGAAATAAATTTATTGTTCTGAGCGATTCATTAATGTCCTGTTTTAAATATTCAAAAATGTCTACTTGCAAAAATGCTACATTATGCAGTTATTTTTTCAGTGACGAACACTGCCCTCTAGTGTCAAGTGTTATGATGAACTTTGTTTTTGGGGGTGATTTATTAAACAGCCTATAGGGCTCATACTACTAATTGAAACTTCATAGACGACAATGTTAACATATGACGAGATTGCTATAGGAAAATGATAAGCAAACTTGAAAACATAGCTCAAAAATGGGAAATCAGCATGCCAGTAATCAACCACATGAAAAAAACATGTTGGCCAGCTCAAACTCTTGCAAATCTCAGGTAAACAAGACACACCTACTCTATTGCACCTTGAGAAATCACTGGAAAAACACCAAGATTAGAATATCCAAATACAGACAGAATAAACCAACAGGTACACAGCCGCTAAGTAGTAAACAAAAGACCATATTTGGTCCAAACAGGGAGGGCACCTGAGAAAAAAAATATTAAAAAATTTCATTGGTTCTTGCAAGGCATTTAAATTGAGGGCTACAAACGGTCATTGGTTGATTAGTGGCATGAGACCTATAGCACAGTCACGATGCTACTATTCAAAACTTTTGTGATGGAAATTATTAGTATATACTGCCCTCTAGTGTCGATTGTGATAATTAATGTAACTTTTGTTTTTAGATGGTGATTTATCAAATGAACTGGTGCGGCATTTCTTGATAGAGCCGAATTCGCACGGCGTGCGATTGAAAGGTTGCAGCAATGAGCCTACCTTCAGTAGTTTGTCAGCATTAGTGTATCAACATTCTATCACTCCGTTAGCTTTGCCTTGCAAACTGTTGTTGCCTGAAGTTGGTAAGTAGATATTAGATCATTTTATTATAGTATGGAGTTTTAAAATAAAAATAGCATATGCAACTAATGTGAAAAAGAGATATCAATTGAAATCATGCGAATTGTAAAATTATCACAATTTCAATTATTGAATCCAAATAAGTGATCAAGAACTTGATGCTTTGAAAGTTAAATGCGTTTTGCAATCGGGGAAATCTGGATCGATGAGTGTGTTTCAATTAAATTCAACCCAATGGTGGAGAAATCTGTATTCAAGTCTGGGTTTTAGGTGAACTGGTTTCCACAGATGGAGAAAATTGGATTAAGTGGGTGTCGTGTAAATTGGGTTTACAGTTGGAAAAATCTAGATCAAAGAGTGGGTTATAGGTAAAGATATAATTGTGGAACATCTGGTAGCAAGATTACCTTTATAAACATATTACTGCTAACACTCAATCTAATCTACTTTGTATCAACTACTGATTTTTACACATAAACATTGTGTCATAATTTTAGTTAGATCTCGTAATCGTGACATATGTTATTATAAAAATGTGAAATTCTAAGACGCATTACTGATCTTCAATTCTTCAGCCCATAATATATACTAACAATGTTATTATTATTGTTTTATTAGATCCATCTGGCCCAAGCAGTGCAGCTAGTAGCCCTCGCTCATCTGATATTCCTCACTCTCCCTCAGCTTTGCTGGCGCAGGGAGCAGGTAAGCTACATGGCTAGGTATACTCTACTGTACAATTTATTTTAATAGCTCCACAACTCACACTACAATCCAGGACATCACACTAGTGCAGTAATTTCTGTTTATTTTTAGATTCAAAACCTTTCATTGGTTTTATCGTGATATTTGCTCTATTATTAGTAGCATAATCACATAAATATGAGTAGTGGGCCTGATAAAAATATTATTTAAATGATCAAGTATACAATTGATGTAATTGACTTGTATACATGTACAGTTGTGTATTTCTGTTTAATCAAGCGAATATCATACATTCAAACACATGTAATCGATAACCAAATTTTGTATTCGTTGTTTTACAGCCTGTAATGTACTATACTTGCACTCAGAGGAGATGGAATCGTTAACAGGCCCGAATGCTGTCCGCAAGGCAATGACAGCAGTGGCGCTCAAGAAACCCCGTCCCAAAACTACAGTAGTTCATTTCAAAGTTAACTACCAGGGAATCACGCTTACAGATAATGAGAAAAAGTGAGTTAGTTAAATTTATTTGAAGATAGTATTATAGCAAAAAGCAAATACACAGACATAAAGTGCAAATGCTTGCCAATCACAACAACTTAGGGGACAAACATTTAAAAAAAACAGACACAAATTTGTTTGCATTTCATGTGTTTTCGGTTTTTAAAATTTTGGAATAATTGTGTATAAAATTTGTTTCTTAGGTTATTTTTCAGGCGTCACTATGCGGTAAATAATGTCACTTATTGTGGAATGGATCCAGAAAACAGGAGGTAAGTGTTTAGTACTTTTTATTCTTTTTTTATTTTATTCTCTATCTTTATTGTTATCACCCTCTCTCCTTCAAGGACTGCACTGGATAACATTATTATCCAATGAAAATGTGTCTACATGTGTATTGCTTTGACAAATTAGGCTCAGTTAGTTTAATGGAGCGCATGAAATATTACAAAGTTGATATTATAGTAAAAATTAATCACTCAGATAGTGAAATCAATTGTCATCCATAATCGAAAAAATGATTTTAAAAAATGGGTTGATGGTCATAGTGACAGTTTTGGATTTCTCATGACTGGGGGA